TGTGTACAAAGGACTACTCTGCCTTCCTCACTTTTTAAATTTTCATTTCTCTTTTTGGAGGGACAGTGGTGCAACACTGAAAATTCTTGTCATTCACTGGGAAAAGATTGAAATTCTAAACTCTGCTTACATCTCATCCACACTTTCTACCATTAGTAAACTCATGTTAATGCACCCCAGATGACCTAAACTGTTCTACACCAAAGCTTGCAGGTAATTAAAACTCAAGGCTATGCAGTGACTACAGCAGATGTCAGAATAAGTGCTTCCAAGGAAGAGAAAGAAAGAGATCCAGGCAGCATGAATCTGGAGCCAAATGCTGCTCTTGAGAGTGTATTCCCATCATCATATATGTCCTCAATTCTAAGAAAGGACCTGAGGAAATTGTTTCCTTAAATTTCTTCTCTAGATATTTACTGGAAGAGCAAGTGATGGATTAGGTCCGAAGAACTGTGAAGTGTAGTGTTTTGGTCATTTGACCTAAAAAAGGAGAAACAGGGAAGAATGCTACATTAAAATTATATAAAATATAACTACATGGCTACCTGCCTATTATAATCCACCTATGGTTTCTGCTTTTAAGTTTTACCAAAAATCCAATGTCAAGACTTCTGCCCTCCCTAACATCTGATCATTTTAAGCAGTACCCATTGTAACAGCAGTAACAGACAAGATGTATTAGCCTAACTACATTTTATTTCTACCTGTGCTATTAATATACAAGCCAACTTTGCCTTGTATAGTTTGAAGCATAATAGAAATCTGAACAGTGAATTTATGAAGAGAATTTTTTATTCAATAGTTGAGGACAATATGCTACTCTAAGAAACCAATAACTTAACCTCTTCCCAATACCTCAAGTATATTATAATTATGCACAGTCAGTACTTCTTAGATGATGAAAGAATGAGCATGTGGATACAAGTGGGTTTAGGAGTCAGAGGTGGATTTTACCTCTATTAACTACCACATACTACTGGCACAACATTAGGCAGTGCACCCAGATCTCTGAGCCTCTGTTTTATGTCTATAAAATGCCCATGCTATTTTAGGATTTAAGATAAAGCATTGGATGATTTAATATAGTACCTGACCACACGGGAGGAATTTAAAAAATGATCCTAAGCACATCTGTTTTCTCTGCTGATTATTTGAGTAATATTCAGCAAGTTCAAAAATCCCTTTTCCCTCAAAGATTCAAGTATATTTTAGTCATTGTTTCCACTGATAGCACATATAGAAATATTACAGAAGAGATAGTGTTGGGGAAAAAGCAATGTGAGAGAAATAAAATAGGAATGAAAATAGCTAATATAAAAGACAAAGAGAAGAACCTAAGTGGAGGAGAAAAGTAACATGCCAACTATTCCTACTTCCATTTTTCGCACTTGAAAGAAAGGACTTCCCTTTCTTCTTTCCTTACAGCACTCACTAAACTTTGTCAGAGAGAACTTAGGAACTGAAAAGAGTTACCCGGAAAGTCTTTTTAGCTCCTTTCATAGTTTCCTGTATCATTTTTCTCACTAACTTACTATTTCTTATCATTAGTTATAGAGCAATATCAAATCCAACCCAGTACTTGACCATGAAATTCTAAACCATTTTCATCATAGGCTATGGAAGTTCTTGTCTCTGTGACTCCATAGCTACATATTTATCTTACTGCTTTAACAGAAGCAAGTTGTTTCCTCGTATTCAATGACAATTTTCTAAAAGCCCAAGAGTTAAGGCCTGCATACCATTACTTTTGTATTTTGGAGATATAAATGGAGTGTGTGAGATGAGAGGGAGAAAATGGGAATAGTTTTCATTAAGGGAAAAAATATCTTTTCCAGATAACCTATTCAAGAAGAGATAATTCTCAAGTTTCTACTTTAGATACTGCCATTATCTGGAAAGTCATTGAAGTAAGATTGCTATGATGCATTAGATTGTCATATCCATTTAGGAAAAAAAATACTTTGGTAATAGTGCCTTAACAGAATACTTTATGTTCTCTGAATGAATAAGACCAATAAGGCAAAACATTGAAGAATGATATTCTCTCCAAAAGTAATGTTTCATAAAAACACCAAGACTTTTGGCACTCCATAAATATTACTTTTGTAACCATTATAATTCCAAGAACCAAACTGAAGCCAGAAAGATATAGATCTCAATATGAAAAATGCCCTCATGCCTTATTCAATGAAAATGTCCAGAATGATTTTTAGTACTTGGATTATGCAAATAAAATGAGGAATTTTCTACAGTGACCTCCTCTTGAACTAAACAGAGCTTTTAAATTGCCATAAATTCCTTGAATTGTAGTCTCGAGTGAGTCTGTGCCAAAACCATAAAATAAGGGCAGCACATCACAGTTGCCAACAAATGAACAAACAAAACTGGCCCCTTCAGAAGTTGAAAGATTTCAATTTAATGTGCAATTCAATTCAATCCAATAAATTTGTGTGAAATTTTGTGTATGAGGTGTTAAGAGACATGTGAGGAAATATAGGAGCACAACAGCTACTTCAGCAATTGTGTTACAAGGCAGGATTTGCTCATTACACCAAAATAAATTGAGTACCTACTGTGTTTCAGGCTCTTTCTCTAGTACTGAAAATAAAACAAAGAAAAGAACTTATCTTTTTTGGTAGAAAATTCTAAAACTTGTAATATTAGAGTAATGAATGATAGCAAAACAAAGCACAAGGGGTGAAGGGTGTTGATTCCAGTGACCCAATAGAATAAAGACTGAAGGAGTCTAAGTAACTGACCCGAATTTGATCCCCAGCACTTCAAAATGGTCCCTTGACCCCTTCTAGGAGTTATTCCTGAGCACAGAGTCAGTAATAGTCCGTGAGCAACACCAGGTGTGTCCTAAAAAGAAAATTAAATGAAAATTAAAACAGAGACCTAAAGGAGATAAAAGAGTAAGTCTTTTAAATATGTGGGGAAGATTTTATCAGACAAGGAGAAGAACAAGTATCTAGTGAAGAGTGGAAGAAGATGAACTTGAGAGGGAATGGCAGGCATGAGAAACCAGGAGAATGTGTGAGAGTATTTTGGGTTTCCTGGTGTCTTTTCCAGTTCAAAGGAATACTTACAAGATACCAATACCATCATCACCTGCTGCTTTCTTCACCTCATAAACAGCCTCCTGATGCTGCTTCCTGTCTTAGCATCGTATCCTTTTCTATAAGTTTCTCCTATAGAATGCTGTGGTCATTTTGCCACTGACTCTGCGACTGACCCTTCCACCTGGATCACCCATCTGTTTTCTCAACTAGCATAGGTTTTCCAACATCTATAAAGAAAAGTAAATCAAATTAATTAAATTGGTTTTCACTCAGATATCCCCCATAGCTCAGCTTCTAAAATATAATATGTCTAAGATCTATAGTGCTGTGACCAGCACAGAAATGGGTGGGGCATAGGGTGTTTGAATCTACTCTACAAAAAGGGTAGCCAGGAGCAGCCAGGGCATTGCAGCCCACATTCTTCCATGGGGCATTTGAAGAAAGAGCTTGTGGTGTTGTTTCTGTTTTAATATCTTTTACAGAGTAACTCGTCTTATGTTTCAGGCCTCTCTCTGCCTGCTCCCTATCTAGCAGTAACTTATCCAGGCAACTAGTACATCAATGAACTGTAGGTTTGACCCGTCTATCTGGACATAGTGAACCTTCTCTCCCATTTCAGCCCTTGTCCCTTTACAACTGGAGTTTTCACCAGGGGAGACAGCAAAGTTGTCAGAGTGGTAAGTGCTGATGGTGCTGATTTGGTAAAGGAAAAGAAGATTGACAGAGGCTAGGTAAAGGGGCCCATATACAGGGCATATGGCAAATAGATCTACCCCAAGCCCTGGAAAACCTATGTGTGTGTGTGTGTGTGTGTGTGTGTGTCAGAGAGAGAGAGAGAGAGAGAGAGAGAGAGAGAGAAGTTCCCAACACCACTAACTGGACTTTTTTTCCTGGTATATCTTTTATTTTTAACTTTTTTTTATTTGTTGAAGTAACTGCACTTTAGAAAATGAAGACTTCTCAATAGACAGCATTGTCCCCTCACTGTTTCTTCAGGTGAACCAGGGAGTCACGGTTTAGAAACATTTTATGGTTTCCTCAAACTCTAGAACACCAAGTATATAAACTTGAACCTTGGGGATTATTGGAGAAGCTGACTGAAGGACTAAAATACAAAGAATTGGCTGAAGAGAGAGCCATGGGTTAAGGCACTTGCCTCACACACTGCCAACCCTAGTTTGAAACACAGTACTTCACGTGATCCCTTAAGCACCATCAAGAGTGATCCCTGACAGAGCCAGGAGAAAGACCTGAGCACCACCAACTGTGGCCCAAACATCCCCCCCCCCCAAAAAAAAAGAAAGGTGCAGAGAATGAACAGAGTGTGAAGATCAGGCTTATCAGGCTGATGGTTGGATGATAGGAAATGATCAAATCTTTGTGGAGGAATTATCCTGGAAGCCTGATCTGAATCTAGCAGGGCTAGAAGAAATGGGAGGGGGGAGGGTAGAAATTGGGGTAGTAAATGCAATAAGTGTGAGGAGGAACTTCTCCCTGAGTACTGACACTGAATTGAAGACGAGAGGTGAAATTAGAGAGTTGGTTGGAGACAGAGGCAACTATTGATAAAGGGCAACAAGGATAGAACAGTGAAGTTGTCACATAAAAGGCAGCCTTCCATCCTTGGGAAATCTCTCAGAAGAAAATCAAATGTGGCCTAGCCTGAAAGAATAACCTGGGCCTCTCAGGAGACAGAAACTCAGGTTATTAGGAGACAGGAGTACACAGGTCATTTTTTTCCAAAACTATCAAACCTGGCCTTGGTTCTCAGCAAGATAAACATATATACTTTGGTGAAGGCTTTATTTAATTTTTACTGGGCCTGTAACAATTTACATATCTGCCTTTTCTCTTTGGATCTAACCAACACTCTTGCTTAAATCAGGTCAGGCACCCTCCATTGTTTCAGCCTATAACAGTATTTCCTGTTGTTCTCAGATTATAGATGGACAGCATGGAAAATACTGTTTGTGACATCTAGCACATTCTTGGAAAACACCTGCCCTGCTGGTATTTGGCTAAATTTTTAATAGTTGCCTTTCTAACTAGGCTAGACAACTGTTTGTAGAGATGTACTGGGAATCCATAATATCATGCAAGTTTCCTAGATTCAAATCATCTCTCTGTCTCTTTCGGTCTCTAACTCTCTCTGTCTCTCTTTTGCTCTGTGTGTATGTGAGTGTATTTAGTAACTTCATGGTCGTTATTTTTATTCCTCATTATTATGTCTCTCAGCAATAGTTAGTGGACTAGTGTTTTCTTACCTCAACATAGGAGCTAGAGGTATTGCCTTAAATGCAGCTGATTCAAATTTGATCCCTAGAACTCCATGTGGTACCCCAAGGCTACCAGAATTTATCCCTGAGCACAGAGTCAGGAGTTAGCTTTGAATACCACTGGTTGTGGCCCCCAAAATAAAAAAAAAGAACTCAATGTAAAGATGTATACTATAAGAATATTGAAAAAGTACAATCATTAACATGCAAATGGAAATTTAAAGAGTAAAAATAAGACAAATACTTAAAAAGATGTATAAAATACATAATAGAAAAATTAAGCGGAAGAGGAAGCCACACTGGATGGTAATGGGGAAGGAATTTCCAAATAAAAGGCATACCTCAGTATTCCTTGGGCATTGGTGATAGGATACATTAGAATACTCAGTGTCTACAGGAATATGACAGCTGATGATAAACACTGAAAGTGAATTGTACTAGTTACAATGAGAAAAATAGATTGGAAAATGGCAATGAATAATTGTGCAAAAGTAAAATTCATAGAATTTGTACTTAAGTGGACAAAGATATTTGATAACTATAGTCTTTAAAAAAAACTTACGAATATTCAAGTTTTTCAAAAGTAAATTCCAACCGAGTATGTAGATTAGTGGTTTTTTAAAAAAAGAAACTAGTCAAAATTTAACTTCATAAAATACATTTCTTTTAGTTTCAGAAATACCCTCCCACACTTTGTAATTGTGATATAAAACTGTATTCACTAAGAAGTTTCAGAACATTTTTCTCATCATATAACATCCTTTAATACACATCTTTAAGTGCTGATATTTTCTGTTGTTATATACTTGAAATTATATTTCAAAAGAGGAAAAAATGCTCTATACTTCTTTACTTCATATCATAAACTTACCAGAGAAGTCACTATTTCCTTTTTTAAAAATCTATATGGTATATATTTACATTACATTGTGCCTAGGGTGTGTTACAATTGGAATTTTAAGATAGTTCCGACTCATTTCCAAAATCATATATGCAGGGGTTGGAGAGATAGTAAAATAAGTAGGATACTTGCCTTGCACACAGTTGATCTGATTTCAATCCCTTGCACCCCATATGGTGTCCCAAACTGTACTGGGAGTGATCCTTAAGCACAGATGCAGGAAATAAGCCCTGAACACCCTGGATGTGGTCCAAAAAACAAAAAATAATTCTTCATGCAACTTTTATACATTTGTAATATTATATATTCTCTGATGACATCTGCCCAGATTTTCCTGTGAAGTATTTGTGTGCCAAGGTAAATTTTTCTATAGCCTGGCAATTACATAGGTAATTTTAGAAGTGCATTTGGGGAATTTGATCATAATGTTAAACAAGTTCTTTCTTCATTTTTAAATGCTTTTCATAGTAACTTATAGGTTACTTTTCTTTCTTACCACATAAAAACAAAGAGCTGAGCCAGGCAGACAGCTCAGAAGACTGGATGTATGCCTCGTATGTGGAGGGCAGGCATGCAATCTCTGACATGACACATTTCCAGGCATTGTGCCAGGAATAGCCCCCTAGTATCACCAGTGTGACCCAAAACAAAACAAAACAGAAACAGCAACACAAAAAACAGTGCTTCTCAATAGAGCATTTTAGGATGGTGAAAAGATTCTAAATGTGCAACAGTCACACAGGAGTTCTCAGTGACACTGAGGACTTGAAATGTCCTTGTTTCAGTGGAGGAACTGAATTCTTAATTTTATCTGATTGTGATGATGGATAGCACAGTGGGTAAGGTATTTGCCTTGCATGCAGCCGACCTGGTGAGCCAGGTTCGATTCCTCCACCCCTCTCACAGAGCCCGCAAGCTACTGAGATTATCTCACCCACACGGCAAAGCCTGGCTACCCGTGACGTATTCGATATGCCAAACACAGAAACAAGTCTCACAATGCATGCGTTACTGGGTCCACTTGAGCAAATCGATGAACAACGGGAGGACATTGCTACGGTGGTACAGTGTGATGGTTTCACATTTTCATGGCCACAGCTGACGGGTGCCTTTTGTGCTTGGCAGCATAGAACAAATGGGTATGAATTGTTGCCTGTGGACTTTGCTCCATGGATACCAAAACTGTTTGTGGTTCCATTTATCCCGGATGCCCCTCGCTTGCCTCATTAATAGAATGACACGGTGGGCTCTATAATTTCTAACATTCTTTGCTGCTCAGGCTTGTCTGACTGGCCTCTGTCTCAAAATAATTAACTCTACAACCAGCTTTCATTCCATCCTAGCCTGGACAGCGAATCTCAGGAGTCCTTAATAATGAGCATGACCCTAGACATTTGAGTTTCCTACAAAAACTTTGATAATGAACATGATCGCAACAATTTCTTTTCACACAGATAGCAGGAAATATTTTTCCTAGAATTTCCTTTATGCAATTCAATTACATCAAAAGCCAATACTGACTAAGACTTCCTGGAAGATACAAAACTCCCCCCCCCCCCCCCGCCACACACACACACTCCTCCTCCACTTATCCCAGAGAATTTTTACAGACACCATTGATCCCCCACAATAGCAGCTGAAGACTTCATTTATTTGGGGTTACTTCCTTTACTGGGCATTAAGGGCCTTATTGCAGTGGGGAGTGTCCCCATTGTCTTTGCCTACCCACCTACTTGGGTGGCGGTGAGGGTGGTGGTGCCTGACCAGTGACGAGACCAGCATACCAGTGGTGATAAGCTAACAGGATGGAAAAGTGTATTATGGACCAGGCATTGTGCTAAGGGATTTATATTCTCTTATGCCCTCGCAAAATCTATGAGGTACATGCTGTTACACTCTCCCTTTAATAAATGTGTAATGAATGGACAAAGAGACAAGTAGAATCTTGGCTTTTCCTTTTCCTGGAGTTTGCCTTACCCGTTACAGACAAAAGGAATTGATCAGCAGCCTTTTCTACAGTGACAAGGGCTTGGCAGCAATTTTTCTTTGCTGAAAACTGTACGTGACTACCTAATATTTGCAGCAACTGAAGGTTGAAAGAATAGTGCTGGAGAGCTAGGGAAAAAGCCCTGGTTCACTCATTGACATTCACATGGACCTCGAACTAATTATTTACTCTACTTTCCTGTTCTTTTTACTCTCAGCAGTTGTCTTCATCACTCCAGGGTACTGCTAAAGTCCTGGTTCAGTACTCCCAATTAAATTGTAGATAAGAAATACAAGTACTAAGATGGACAAGTTTGTTTTCATTTTGATGTTGCTTAATCTACTGGCAATCAACTGCTTTACCCTTTGAGCAGCTTTTAGTTCTAAATAAAATCCTGTATTCAGGGACTAAACATAAATGGCATCTCTGCTACTAGAGTGTTAACACCAGGTGGGCAGGGATTTAACCTGGCTTGTTCCTCCCTACCAGGTCTGTAGTCCTCGGAACAGTGCCTGATGCTTATGGGCACATCGCCACTGTTTGCTAGAAAATTGATGACCAGATTGAAATATTGGTACTATGCTCCCCTACTCCATGTTGGTGATGGGAAGCAAAAACAATGTTACCTCCTTTTAGAAATTTTTCTATTTGTAAAATATTTAAACACAGAATTTAAAGGCCAGGACACAGTTTTTGATGTCTTTAAAGCTCTTTGCAGATAGAACCTGGCTGGAATTCCGGACATCATATAAGGTTCCCTGAGCACCACCAGGGATCACTTGAGCTAAAAACCAGGAGCAGCCCCTGATCTATTATTCCTAGGTCTTGTGTAACTAACCATCCCACACCACATCACCACGAAATAAATAATGATCACTACTTAGGTTATATATTAGAACTACCTAGAACTTTTTTTAACTGTATAGCTCAGGTGTTGTACTACATAAATTCAGGGTAGAGTCTACGAAAGAATAATTTCATAGAGAAGTCTATGTTAACTTTTTTTTCTTTTGAGGTTGGTTCTATGGATGCATTAGTCAGTGTTCCCCAGAGGGGGGGGGGGGGGGGAAGAGAGTAAATAGTAGGTATACATACATGTTTGTGTGCACTGGTATGTTCAGAGGCAGGGATTGAGGGAGGGAGGGAGGGTGGGAAGGAGGGGGGAGGGAGGGAGGGGAAAGGGAGGGAAGGAGGGAGGGAGGGAAAGGAAAATTGAGGTTTCAAGGAACTGACACACAATTGTAGGTTCTGGTAAGTCTGCAGAGCAGTCCTGGAAATCACTGCAACAGTGGCTGTCCCAAGCTTCTGGCAGTGTCATAGCAAAGATAGTCTGCAGGGCCATTTCCCTCCTCTCCTGAGGATTTCAGTTCTTGGTTTGTTTGTTTTTACTCTAAATCATCTTCAAATGATTGCAAAAGGCTTTTGCATCTCATTGAGTAATCTGTTTTACTCGAGTCTAATATGTTCTAATTGATTTTTATTGAGGTAACATTTATTTCTAAGAGTATAATGGTGTACTGATATTTTTAATTGATGTAACATTGCAAAATAAATTCCGATTTTCAGATGTGCATCATTAAAAAAATGGCAATGCTCATTCAGTTCTCCACTAAAAGTTCCTTTTTGCCAGCACCTTGTTTCCTTTTTTACCCAATTTACCTAGCCTTCTCCCCACTCCCCTTCCTTTCTTTTCTTTTTGCTTTCCCTTCCTTCTATTATTGTAACTGGTAATCAGTCTGATGGACCCAAAATGTGGTTTTCTGAACTTAATTTATTCTTTCGTTTGTTTTCTGTATCTACCACATAGAAGTATTTTGTATCATACTCTCTGGATCTAAACACTTTGTTTCAGATGACAGAATTCAATATCATTTTTATAGCTGAGTAGGATTCCATTTGTGTATATAT